AATATATAAATTATTTATTTTTTATTATTTTTTTATAAAGGTTTTTTATCAATTTAATAATTAAAATAAAAATAAACATTTGTAAAATATGATATATTGATATAATATATATAAATAATACTAATACTATTATTCTTTGTAATAATTTTTATTTATATATTATTTTATTTATATTATATATTTTTATATTTTTTAATTTTAATAAAATATCTTTTATATAATTATTAATATTTTTTATTTTAAATACAATATATTGTATTTATTTAAAAAAAAAAAAATCATTTTGTTATTTTTAATATTAATTTTTTAGCATTTTATTAGATTTATTAATAAGTTATTATTATTTTAAAAATAAATTGTATTTATTAATTGAATATTTCATTTATATCAAATTATATTTTTATATTATTAAAAAATTATATTTTTAATACATAAAAATATATTATATTATTTATTTTTTATAAAATTTACTATATAATATATTAATTTTTTTATATTATATTAAATTATATAAAAAAAAAATATATAATATTTTTATTATAAATATATATTAAAAAAAATAGAGAAAACATAGAATAACTAAACCAAAAAATATAATAATTAAAAAAATAAAATTCTGTAATATTTAAAAAACAAAAAACAAAAAACAAAATATGAATAGTTTATATTTATCAAAAAAGGAACATAAATTTTACGAAAAAATATATTAAAAACTTTAATTATATGATAAATTAACAAAAATTCATTTAACAAATATATGTTAAAAAAGGGCATAAATTCCTCCGAAAATAACTCTTTAAATAATAGAAAGTACATTCAAAGAAAATGACTTTTTCGAATGCGATAAGAAAGACTTTTTTATTTTTTTAAAAAAAGTAGCTTATTTTTAAAAGGAAAAATAATTTTGTTCAGATATAAATGACAATTAATATGAACTTCCTGTGCCTGTTTTTCCTAAATATAGCGAAATATTGTAATAGAAAATAATTAATTTATAAGAAAGTATATATTAAGAAGATAATAATAGTGAATTTTTAGAATTTTCTTTTATAGAAAAAAGAATGGAAAGTTAAATCCCTTTAGAAAATTCTGACGAGGAACTCGAGATTTGCAAAAGTATGAATTCTTCGTTTTTTTAAGAAAAAAGTTCTATTGAAGGAAATTCCGAAAAAAGCTATTCTTAAGAAAATATTGATTCCGAAAAATTATATATTTAAAATAATAATAATAGTTTATATAAAATATAATAAAATGAAGACTTATCTAGTGATATTAGTAGCGGAAAAAATAAAAATTATTTAATTTATAATAGTATATATGGCGATTGTTAAAATAAAGTTTAAAATTAAAATATTAATAATATAAAAAAACATAATGGAGAAAAAGAAGATAATTTAAAATAAATTTATACTGAAGAAAATGTGGAATAAAAAAATGAAATTTTTGTAGAAAAATTATATTTTAAAAAGTAAAAATTTAGAAAATAATATTTAATAAATTAATGAATAAAATCAATAATTTTCAGAACAAAATGTAAAATTAAATTAAGATAAAATTTTTGATTTAAATGAAATAAAAATAGATTTAGAAAAATAAAATAATAATATTAATATAAAAGGTATTCATTAAGATTAATAATAATAATAGAATAATATATATAATAAATAATAATAAAAAAATGATAATATAGCCGATTATTGCATTTCCATTAAATTATATGAAGAAGATAATTAATAGAAAAATCTAAATTCATTCCAAAATGCTATTAATTCTCCTATTTCTAATAAAAAAAATGATATTAAATCTTATATTTAACATTCAAATGAAGAAAAACAGTAAAAACATGAGGTATTTTTACTTTAAAATAATCAAAAATTAGAACAAAAAGAAGATTTTTTAATTTAAAAATAAAATTAAATTTTTTTTTCAGAACATAAAAAAAAAGAAGAAAATTTTTTAAGAAATGAAAATATTTTACAAAATAAAATTTAAACCGAAAAAATAGAAAATTTAGATAATAGTAAAATTTACAAAAAAATACAAGAAAAACCCATTTAAGAAATTGTGGAAAACTACAATATAATTGATGAAAATGACTAGAATTTATAATTAGATGATTTTTACTATATAACTTACTAGTCGTTTTTTCAAAGGAAGGATTCAGAAAATTAAATAAGAATAATAAGTACATTAAAAGCGAATGATTTCTTTAAAACATACACTGCTTATATAATTGAATCCCGCGTTTTTAATATGAAATACTAGGTTTAGAGGAGATATAGCGATTTTAGGAATCTGAGCGAGTATTATTATAATAATCTAGCATTTGCTGGTGTTATTATACCGAGTTTACCATTAAAAAACAAATATAGTAATCATATTTTAAAATTGGAATTGGAATATTATTTAAATTTATTTTTGGAAAAAAAATGTTTACATTAAGATGATGTTTTTTAGGATTTTTTATGCAAAAACAAATTTTAAATCAGAAAAAATTTATATTTTTTTTTGGATGAATATATATAAAATTTTAAGATGTGTTTTTTTATATAAAAGAGTGTTTTTTTTAAGGAAATTAATGAAAAAATAAAAAAAATGGAATTATTTGTAGATAAAATGGTATTTTTTTTAAGAAAATATTCAGAAAATTTAAAAGAACAAATTTTCGAAGAAAAAAAGCTTTAAAAATTTTTTTAGGAAAAAAAAAGGAATTTTTTAGATGAGAAAAAAATTCTTTTAGAAAAAATTTATTTTGAGTTTTTTTTTATTTCGAATTAAATTTCTTCTATTAAAAATTCAAAATTTTTAATAGAAAAAAAAAACTATGAAAAAATTCTACTTTAATAAAGATATCAAAATATATAAGAAGATGATATTTAATCTAACAATATAAATATATAAATCAAAGAATAAGAAATTGTCATTTATAATATTAAATTGAATTTTAAAAAAGAAATGGAAGAATTTTTTAATAAATATAATAAAATTATTAATTTATTATTAGTCTAATTTTAATAAATTAATTAAAATTAATGATTATGTTTTTATTAAAAAAATAATATATCAAATATATTGATTATATACTTATATATTTACTAATATGATTATTTATATAAATAAATTTATATTTATATATTAATTTATAAATTTTTTAATATAATTAAATTATATATATATTTATTTTTTTAAAAAAAAAATGTATTATATTAATAAATATATATATATATATAAATATATATATTTATTTATTAAAAATTATATAATTCTTATATATATTTTTTAAAAATGTTATGTATTTTTTTTTAATACAAAAAATATAGAAATAATTGTTTATAAACAATAATTATTTGGCAAATAAAATATACATATTTATATTTTTTAAATCCAATAAGTATTTTCGAAGGATAAATAAGAATATTTATTATTAATGTTTTATTTAATCTTTTATATTTATTTATATTAACTAAAAAATTTATAATATAAATATTATTACTTATAGTTTTATAATATTTTTAATTTGTATAATATTATTTAATAAACATCTTAAATAATTTACTTTTATATTAAATATTTTAAACGAATTATTATTGTAATATAAATTCTAATTTATTAATTTAATATTTATTAATCAAATTTTTATTTAAATTATTTATTATTAAAATTTTTCTTATAATAAACTTTTTAAATTAATTTCATTTTATTTTTTCTCATATATAGATATAAATAAAAAGTTTCTTTCTTCGTTAATTTTGAAAAATTGTATTAAAAATAAGAAAAATTATTACTATATATTAACAAAAACTTATATTCCTATTTTTGTATTATCAAAACACTTTTGTATTATTTTATTTTAGTTCTTTTATAATTTATATAGAGGGTAATATTAAGTTATGATCTACATAGTCGTAGTTTGGTGTTTAATTTATTTTTGTTAAATTAAGTATTATTTAATAAATTATATAATTTTAAGCTCTTTATTTAAAATACTTTATTTGAAGTAATTATTTTTTTCGTTATTTTTTAATTAAAATATGTTTTGATTTTTTATGTATAAATTTGCTGCTTTTTTATTATTAGTTTTTTTACTTTAATTGATTTTTTTTTATATATTAAAATTTAATTTTATATTATATATAATGCTCTATATTATTATTTATTATTTATAGTATTTTTCTATAAAGAATTTAATAAAAATAATATATATAAATATTTTTATTGTATACTGCCTATCTAAATAAGTATAAATATATAAACTATAGTATATAGATTTTATCATTTTTTCTTAAAATTTTTAAGATAAGGACTTTAATTTATATTATAAGGTTAGATTTTATTATAGTAATTTTTATATTTTTTTAATTATTTTAAAGAATTTGTTTATTTATTAATATCAGACTCAGTAATTGTTAATGAACTCACAGAATTAAACATTTAACTTTTTTGAGAATTAAAATCATTTAAAGAAGTGTCTTATTAATTAAATCGTAGTTAAAATTCATTAATACCAGTATTTTTTTTCTTTTTAACTTATTAGTTTTTATTCAAAATCTAAAGAATATTACTCGTTTTTAATTTTTTTCTTATATTGCTTTTGTCACGTATTTATCTAGTAGAACTGTATTCGTATTTTTAAGAAATTTATTAAGAATTTTTTTAAAAATCTTTATTTTTTATTTATTTATATATAAAACAAAATTATATTAAAAAATTACGGTATTATTCGAATATATTATTGTTTTATGATTGAATTTATTCATTAATTTATTATTTTTATTCTCTTCTATGTATATTTTAGAGTTTTTTATTATGAATATTAATTTGAAACTTATTTAAATCAGAATTTTTTTTTTGAGAATCGAAGGAATTTTATTAAAAAGAGGAATTTATTTTAGGCAATTTATTTAATTCATAAAAATCTTATGTTTTTTTTTTTATAATTTTACGTTTTTTTTATTAGTTTATAATATTATCTCTTAATTTTATTTATTATTATAAAAATTCGATTTCTTAGGCTTTTTATTATTAAAGTAAATTCGAATTTTTCTCTTCAAATGATATTTTTATATTTTCCTTTTTAAATATTGTTTTTAAAAAAGAAGGAATTATTTTTTTTTACTTACTATTATTAAAATTTAGTGTTTATAAATATTCATTAAATAATTAATATTCGGCTAACTAAAATCATATTGTTTTATTTACTTTATTTTATTTAATTTTTAAAAATGAAATATATATATAAATATATATATATATATATATATATATATATATATATTTATGTAAATATATTTTTTAATTTTCATATATTATAATAAAAATAAAAAAGTGTTAATAATTAATTACAGTTAAAATATCATTCCTCTTATCAATTAAAATTATATGTTTATTTTTATATTCTTCTTATTATTATTATAGTTAATTTTAATTTATTTTAAGGTTTTTTATTTTTTCTATTATTTAACTTTTATTATTATGCGTATCTTTTATAACATCTAATATTTATTAATTAATTGTATCAATTTGATTTGCAATATCTTATTAATTTTTAGTTAATTTTTATTCCATTTAAAAATGCTTGATAATTTCTTTTTCTACTTTTTAAACCACTTCATTCTGAATTTAATCCTATTATTAATTTTAATTAATAATAGACGGTAAATTTGATTCTTTTTTAATAATAAAAAATAAAATAAAATAAAAAATAATATATACTAACATTTTTCTTACAACATTTTTTTTAGTTATTCATTTTCAGACCTTAAAGCAGTTATAATTTAAGCATAATTAGATAAATGATTTTCCACATTCAATACATTTCTTTGGACATTTGTTTTTATATTTTTAGCTCTATTAGCATAATTTAATGTATTATATGTATCTTCAAAGCTAAGTACACTAGGTGATATATTAGCAATCATTACAGTTCTACAATTACCACCTAAAGAATCCTATAATATTATAAAAAAAAATATATTAATTTTATTGTAAATTATAAATATTAGTTATGTGCTAAATATTTATAATATTTAAATTAAAAATTAAAGATATATGTATATATGTAAATAATAAACTACAATTTTTAATAATAAAAAATAAATATATAATATTAATAATAATATATATATATATATATATATATATATTTAATTTACTTTTAATAATCTTGTTAACTTACTTCCTCTATACGGTACAAATTAATTTTATTTTCCTTTTTCTTAAATTTCTGAAAGTGCTTATATACAATTCCCTAAACAAAGTAAAGACTAGTTAATTTTTGCTCCTTCAATCATTCTAATTCCTTTATTTTAAGTGTTTGCTGCTCTCTCACTTCCAGCTAAATCAACCATACTCAATTTCGAGAATTTTACTTATTATTGGATGGCTTGTCCTTTTTCTTTAATTTAAACTTCAACTTATAAAATAGCATGAGATCTTGAAGAAAATTCATTTGCATTTGTAGAATCTTGACTTCTATTTTTATTTCCTATCTAAAAAAAAATGTATGTAATAAATAAAAAATATTAAATATATATATATATATATATATATATATATATATATATATATATATATATATATATATATATATATAAATATACTTTTAACAAAGCCATTATATTTTAAGTATTTTTACATTAAACATTTGTTATTCCTGCTATTATTACACCTTAATTTGGATCTTCTCTTAAATCTAAGTTTTTATTTTCGGAATTTAATAAATCTTTTATTGTTTCATTATATATTTCTAAATAAGATACCATTATTTTATACTCATTATTTTAGGAGTTTTTTTCAATTAAATTAAATAATTAATTCATTGTTCGAGACATTATTCCTATATTATCTCCATAGCCGACCATTCTAATTGTATATATATATATAAGTTTATATTTTAATTGTTTTACGTGTATGTTTTTCCAGCACCTGTAGCTCCGTAAGCAAAAACTGTTGCATTAAAACCTTCTAAAACTCCATCTAATAAAAAATAGGAGGTTTTTTGGAAAACTTCTACTTGTCCTTCATTTTTACAGAATGCAAAATCAAATGCATATTAGGTTTCTTTGTTTCGGTTTTTACGTAATACCTTACATTTTTTATTTTATATGTATTTTTTTTGTTCTATTTTTAAATAAAAAAAAAACATCATTTTAATTGAATTCATAACCAGGATCTATTAATACTACAAGTCTTTAATCTAATATTCTTATTATTTCATATTCATTATATTCTTATTCTCTTTAGTTTAATGGTCTTGCTCTTACTGCTACCTATTTATTATAATTAAATATATAATTTCTTTAAAATATATTATTATATATTTTTATTTTTTACTAATATGTTATTTTAACCATTTTTTAATTATTCAATATATTAGTTTCTTTCATTATTAAAATTATCTAAATAATTATTATTTTTCATTTTTTTTTAGAATTATTTTAATTTAGTAATGATTATTTTTTATTAATTTTATTTATTATTAATAAAATAAAAGTAAACTATTTTCCTTTATTTTTATTTTTAATTCCAAAAAAAATAAAAAAGTATAAAGATTGAATATATACTTTTTTAAAAGGAAAATATAAAAATCTGTTATCGAATCATATTTCATATTTAATAAATATAAAATTTTAATAATAATAAGAATATATTTTTTATTTTGATATTTGTTTATATTTATTATTTTATTTTATTATTAAAAATTTAATTAAATTATTTATATTATGTAAAAGTATTATTATGAATTATTTATTTATGTACAGAAATATATTATTTAAAGTATTTATTTATTTTATTTTTTGTGATTATAAAATTTTCAACTAAAAATAACCCAAACATAAAAATTTTAAAAATGTCTAAAGAAAACTTAGAAAAAAAATTATAAGCTTATAAATAATTAAATTAAAAAAATTTATAATAATTACAAGAAGAAGAAAATATGAAATATAATTTAAACAAACTAAATAATAAAAAAATAATTGATAATTTTTTCAATAATCACAATAAAGAAATAAAACAATATTTTAACGAGTATTCATAGTCTATTATAGAAAAGAAGTGCAAAAATGAACATTAATTAAGAAATAATGACCATTTTATTTATGTAAAAGACATTCCTATAGTTTTAAGAATAGCATTTTATTATGGAAATATAGTTTTATATAAAAACCTAGATGAAAACATAGAAATATTTGATGATTAAGAATATTTGTAAAAAATAAAGGATTGCTTATAAAAGTTTTTTATGTAAACATATAATATAGAAGAATATTAAAGTGAAGAATAAAAAATGGATTTTAATGATTTTGTAAATTTTGTGTATTATCTAAATATTAATTATGAAAATTTATGTATTTGTTAATAAGAAGACGAAAATAAAAATATAAACTTAAAACTATAATTTAATGAAAATATATAAAAATATGAAAATTTATTAAATAATAATAATTATATGAAAGAAAATGAAAAAAATGCAATTAAATAAACAATAAAATGCTTAAAAGATTAGATATTATAATTAGATTGTAAATTTATATATATATAATTTTATACAAAATATAAATATATATAAATGTTTCTATATTTATTTATATATAGTAGTTAGTTTAATTAAAAGTTAATAAGTTAGTTAAGTTATATCTAAAAATTAGTCTGCAGTAAATATTAGGTGCTAATCATAGAGCAAATAAATTTTAGATTAAGTAGAAAACTCATAAAAGAATTTAGATATTTCTTTTTGTTTTACAGATTTAATTAATCAAAATAATTAAATTAATTAAAATTAAGATAGTAGTAAAATTTAAAATATTTTAGATTAATTGTAAGATGAAAATTAATATAAATAAGAATAAATTCAAGAAAAAACATTAGAAAAAACATAAGAAAAAGCATAAGAAAAAATATAAGAAAAAATCATAGAAAAAACTTAAGAAATAACAGAAGAATAAAAATAAGAAAAAACATAAAAAAAAACATAAGAAAATATCTAAGAATAACTTTTAGAAAAAACACAAGAAAAAATATTATAAAAATCAATAGAACAAATATAAGAAAAAACTTAAGAAAAACTATAAGAAAAAATATAAAAAACGCCATAAGATAAAACACAGGAAAAAACATCATAAATAATATTATAAAAATCAATAGAATAAAAATAAGAAAAAACCTTAGAAAAAGAAAAAGAATAAAAATAAGAAAAAATTGATAAATAATTTGAAGAAGTTGAAATTATATAAAAATAACAAATTTTAGATGATTAATTAAAGAACAAAAAAAAAATTATGTAAAATTTAAAAACTGTATTTAATTTTTACTGCAAATAATAATTTTGTTCAGGTCCAACATTTAGTTTTGAGAGAATTTCACACGAATAAAATGTTATGAATTTAGGTTGTTTTTAGATTTTTTTAAGGCATTTTAATATTCTGAATTTTAATTAAAATCTTTCGAAAAAAAAAATACATGATTTATTCAAAAAATATGCTTTTTTATAAAAAGAATTAAATTTTAAAAATTTTATTTTGATTTTGGAAAAAATCGCATAAGAATATTCATTTGAAAATTAAGAAAAATTAAACTCGGATTAAAAAGTTAATATGTTTTATTGCAATATTCTTTAAATTCAAGATAAAAATGTTTTTCTTTCTAAAATTAAGCCTGTTGACAATCCATTTCATATGAAAGATAAAGTAAAAATATAAGTATAACTAGAGAATTTATATATATAATATATATATATATATATATATATATATATATATTTTATTTTTTTATATTTAATTTATATTTTTTATATAAATTTAAATTTTTATTTATAAATAGTACTTTTTAATTTTTTTTCTCTTTTATATTATTAAAAGGATTAGTATTAAATAAATTATTCCTATTAAAGAGAAGTTGTAAAAATTACTTAATTAAAAAAAATATAATAACTGAAGTAAAAAATAGAAAAATAAATAAAAAATAATATCTTCTAATAAATTCCTATTTAAAAAAATAATATTTCTAGTGTCATTGCTAGTAAAAATTCTTCTGTTTTAAATTCATAATTATAATAAAGGAAATTTTAGAATAATTAATTGAAAAATAATTCAATTTTAAAAGATATTAATGAAGAAGAAAAACTAAAAATAAATCTGTTTCTTTAATCAAAGATATAAAATAATCAGTCTAAAATAGTATTTTAGAAAAATCGAAAAGTTTAGTTGAAAAAAATAAAACTGGAAGTATTAGAAAAAAGTCTTTTTCAAGAGATAATAATAATGTTAATATAATAAATTAAAATAATTAAATAAAAATGGCCAATAATTAAGAATAAAATTAAACGCTATAAGAAAAAATTAAAATAAGGTAAAGGATATATATATATATATAAATATATATATATAAATATATATATATATATATATATATTTAATATTTTTATTATATATTTTAATTCTTTTATATTTTGTAAAATAAAAATTTAGAATTAATTGGGAAACATTAAATAATTTATCTTTTTCTAAAAACTTAAATGAATAAATAGTAAATAAATAAAATTAATAATTTTTATAATCTTTAATAAATTATAATTACGATGAAGAAGATAAAATATATTTGGCTTAATATATGCCCCATATAAATTAAGATCCTATATTATAGAATCAAAGTAATAAAAATATAAATATAAAAAAAATTAATAGTACAAACCATAAAAATATTTCATACAATAAAATTGGAAATAATTTAAGTGATAAGCAATCTCCACTATTTTTATCTCAAATTAATAAAAATACATAAATTGATATAATAAATTCATATAATAAAAGAGTTAAAGAAATAGATAATTCCTGCAAAAATAAACAATTTTCTTTAATGAATAATTTAATTAATAATACAAATTAAAAAGTTCTAAAAGGATTAGTTGTTTCATAAAAAACATGAACAAAGCAAAATGATTTATAATTAAAAAAAATACTTTGTAAAAAAAAAAAATTAAAAAATACAAAAAATAATATTGTTTTTCTATAAATAATAAATTATATATATATTATTTATTTTCAATTTCTATTTGTACCATTTAAAAACACTGGTCCAGTATTATTTTTGAAATTTAAAAAAGTATCTTATTTATTCTATTGAGCTAAAAAATTTTCTTTCTATGAAAGTGGCATATTAGATACAACAATATTATTTTTATCTTAAATAATAGCATTTTAAAAAGGATTTCTTTTAAAAGGATTATATCCATTTATGATTTTAGTTTAATCCACTATTACTGGAGGTACACTTGTATCAGGTCTTTATGTAAGTAATTTGGCTTCCAAAGGATATGGTTCATATGTGGGATCATTTATTTATTTATTTTATTCAAATAAGTCTAGTTTTATTTTATCATATTCTTTATTTTCTTCATGTTATTTTAATGATTATTCCATTACTAATATTTTTTTATACATTTAAATATATTATTTTATATTTTTTTTTATTTACTATAAAATGTATTTTATATTCCTCCTAATTTTTATATATTTTAATGTAAAATTTCATTTGCATTTTATTAATTTAAAAAATAAGGATGTGGAATTTCTTTTTCATGAGGAGCAAACAACTTTCTTGGGTAAATATTTTTTATTTATTGACCTTCTAAATTAAGAGGTAATTGTTTATTAAGATATATATTCTGCGCATTTGAATAGCTTTATATAGGCTTGTTTTAATCTATAATTTAAGCAGTTTATTCTGGGAAATGTTATTTTGAATTAGCTTAAACATCTATAAAATTCTTATTTTTTATTTAAAATTATATAAATATATATACAAAAATAAATATTTTTATATATAATATTTTAGTTTTTTTATATATTTTTACATATTTTGATGGAACATAATTATTAAATTAATTTTCTTTATTTTATTATAATATGTTTTTTATAATTTATGTATTTTCAGTTTCATATTCTTAATTGTATTTAATAAATCTTTATTTTCCTTATAAATAACTTTTATTTATATTTATAGATTTAATATGTATTTAAAATAAATAAAGTTTATATATACTCCTTTTCTAATTATGTTCTAGGTTTTAATATTTACATGTTTGTATTTTCAGTTTATTAATTTGGATTTATTTTTAATTCTTCTAATAGATTATCTTACATGTTTTTTTAATAAAATTAGAAAAACCTTATTTTATTTTTATTAAATAAATTATTTTAAATATAAACTTGTCTTCATATTCTTTCATTTTTCCTTAAAAATCTTAAATTTTTTCAAGCTTTTTTAATTGTTAAAAAAATTCATCGGCATTTTATTCGATTTCTTTATAAATTTTTTAATAAATAAACTTTTTAATTATGTATGTTTTTACAATTTTTATCCATTTATTTTAAATAATTAAATAAAGCTATTTTAGTATATTTAAAAAAAAAAAAAATTATTTAAATTATATAAAAATAAAAAATATAATAATTTGTATAAAAAATATATATATATATATAATAAATATAAAATATATATTTAAATTTAAAAAGTTTATTATTTTTGTATATATATATATATCATGGTTTATTAAAACTTCGTTATTATAATAAATGTAATTCATCTTTTTCATACTATAATTAATCATTTTTTAATTAAATTTTAGTATCTTATTTTTGTTTATCCTATAAAATATTTATAATACTTTTTTTATATATATATTATTTACAATTTTTAAATTCTCTTCTTTTGCTGCTTCTCTTATTTATTATTTTTATTTATTTAAGTTATCTTCAAGCATTCCTCTTATATTTAATATATATTTTTTTTTTATTTAAAAATTAAATAAATATTTATTATATATATAAAAAAGAAAAACCTCATTCTATTTAATTCAGCTGTTTATTTAGCATATGCTATTTCTTCAATTCTTTATTATTCTTATTTCATCTTTTTTTCTTTTATTTATTATTCAATCCATTATCTTTATTGGAATTTTTATTATTTATCTCTTTAATCAAATTCTTAAAACATTTGAATTTAAAAAATAAATATAAAGAAAATTACATTAATCTTCTCCTAAAAATTAAGTAACGCCTGAACATCCAAATAATTTATTTGCTTAAGGATGTTCATTAAAATAGTAATCTTTAGTTCTTTTCATTTATTTAAATTTTTAATTTAAGGAAAGTTATATTAATTAATTAAATAAAATATTAAAAGAAATATATAATATATAATATAAATATTAAAAAAGTAGTTATAATATTATTCATATATATATAAATTTTTTTATAATTATAATTATATAAAAAATAAAATAATAATTAATTTATTTATTATTTTTAAATAAAAAAAAAATCTTAAAAATATATAATTTAATTTACGAAATATGAAATAAAATAAGTATATCGGAGACTTGTAATTTTTTAATTAAATATATATATTTAAATTTAATATTAAAATAACTAAATGTTTTAATATTCATTGATATTTATAATTTACCTAATATAAATTAGATTATTTATACTCTCTAAATTTAAAAATATGTTTAAAAATTGTATATATATATATATATATATATATATATATATATATATATTTATTAATTTACAATTTCTTAAATCCATATTATCATTATTAGTATTATTATTGTAATTAAATTTTATTAATATTTTTATTATTATTATTATTATTATTATTATTATTATTATTATTATTATTATTATTATTATTGTTTAAAAAAATATCATTTATTTATGAATAACTAGCATCTGTACTTATGTATTTTCTATTATTTTAATCTTATTTGTTTGTACTTTAATTTAAATTTAATTTATTTTCTATTTTATTTATATTTTCTAACTTATTATTATATCTAATATATTTATTATTTTACATATTTTCATTTTAATTATTATTTTTTATTAATTATTTTACTTTTAATCTGTCTGTTTAATTATCAGAATTTTATTTTCTAATTTAAGATTTCTCTTTTACTTTCAATTGATTAAAACTATTTATTAAAGGTAAATTAGTATCTGTTTCATTTTTTTATAAAATAGGTAAAATATTATTAAACTAATCTTCATATTTATTATTTATACTACTATTCATTGATATATTTTTACATAAAATTTCATTTATTTATTTTTTTTCATTTTAATTATTTATAATTTTTAAATCATCGTTAAAACCTTTATAATTTGAATTTTTTTTCGTGTTATTTTGTGAATATTTTCTTGCTAGTTTTACCTTTTGGTTTTATGTTAAAATGAAATTCGAGCATTTTATTATTTCAGTTTTTTTCTTTTTATCATCTTTTCGTTTGTTTTTTTATTTTAAATCATTTAAATAAGATTCTTTTATGTCTTATTTTTATTATTATAATAAATTCGATTATTTTTGTATTTGAATTTATTTTTCATTTTCTTCTATTATTTTTCTAATTTTTTTTTATTTAAAATAAAAATATATGATATATATTTATTTTAATAAGTAAATATTATTAAAAATTGTATATATTTATAATATTAAATAAAAATAAACTTAAAATAAATAAGAATATATAGATTCATGGATTATTAAAAAATATTATTATTTTATTTTATTTTTATTTAATATTTTATGTATTTTTTATTATATATTTTTTTTTCATAATATTTATATTTAATTATATATTAAGTATAAAAAATAAATTACATTTCATTAACATTTTTTTAAATCCAATCATGTTATCCTATTTCTAGCATAGTAATTCTTTTTGAAATATCAACAACAAGCATTTTTTCAATAAGATTAACTGCTGATTTTGTTATCCTTTACTTTGTCTCTTTTGGAAACTAATAACTACCTTTAATAATACTTTCATATACTTATTACTTCGAGTTTTATGGAAAAGGTGAACTTCCAACCAACATCCAATACAAAATACAACCCAAAGCCCAAACATCAATAGAAGGATGAGCTGGGACTTTAGAAGTAATAACTTCTGGTGCAAAATAACGGACAGAACCACTTTCTGTATAATCGATATTAATAAGATTTTAATTTCCGGAAATACCAAAATCTACTATTTTGATAATATCATGATTTTTATTTGTAAACATTATATTTTCTAGTTTTAAATCTCTATGTATTATTTTTTCACAATGGCAATATTACATGGCACTATATATTTATAAAAATAAATGCCTGGCTTTTTATTCTTCTATATACTATAATATTATTTTTATATTAAAAATAAATATTGTATAAATAATTAATTTATAAATAAATAAAATATATATATATATATAATATATATATATATAATATATTTATACATTTATTATATATATATATATTTTATTTATTTATTATAATATATTTTTTACTTTACTTTGTTATCTTTCTATATACTAACGTAAATCACCTCCTTCTAAATACTCTAGTACAATTGCTACTTTCATTTCTGGTTACAATGTGAAAAAATTATGAACTTTTACTATATTTTTGTGGTCTAAATTTTTTAAAATTCCGATTTCTTTAAACATCATTTCAGCTATTTTATTTACTTCTAAATAAGATTTTTTTTAATATTAATTTTCTTAATTTATTTTTTATTATATTTTATTTTCTTTACTAAATGCAGATCCGTTAATTATTTTTATAGCAAATTTTTCGTGTGTAATTCTATGTTTAGATTCATATACCTGTCCAAAACCACCTTTTCCTATTAATTTTCCAAGTTTATAGACTGCGAAGTTATTAGATTCATCAAAATCTTGACCATTTGGGGAAATGTATAGTATTTAATTTGCTTTTATGTATTTTATGTCATCCTCAAATATTTCAACTCCTACAGATTTAAATATTCTCATTTTTAAGGATTAGTCTAAATTTTAATATTTTAAATTCATGGCTTTTTGGACTAATTTTACAAATTCAAAAAACGTTGTGTTATCTCTTAAAATACATTAAAATATTTTTGTAGGATTTCCATTTAATATTATTTATATTTTTTTCTTTTTAAATTTTTTTATGATAAGTTAGGTTTATTGATTTTTTTTTATTGAAATATATATATATATTAAACTTTTTTTATTTTGTTTATTTACTCTATTATCTTAATTTAATTCTATGTTTGATTCTAAATATTCCATTTTTGTATAATTTTTTTTCTGTTTAAGAAAGTTTTTTATTATTTAATTTCAAAAATTAAATATATATATTGGTAAGAACAAATATTTTTTAAATATATATAATATATATTTATAAAAAAAAAAAAAAAAAAATTATATATTTAAATTTATATTTTCAATATATTTTATTATAAATAGTTTTTTTTTAAAAAAAAAAAATAATAAATAAATTTACACTAAAAAAAGAAAAAAACTTACATTTGTTTATATATATTTTTTTATTTTAATTAAAAAAATATATATTTATAAACCTTATTTTATTTTATTTTATTTTTTTAAAAAAAAAAAATTTAAAATTAAAAATATTAAGTTAATGTAAATTGATCATAAAATATATAAATGGTTAGGAAATCATAAAATAATAGGAATTTCAGACAAAATATAAGGTGTAAATGCTAAAGGAATATATGAGTTAGATATTAATATTACCAAATAATTAGAAAATGGAATAAAAATTGCTTAATTATTAAATAAAATAAATTAAAATAATCATTCATATATAGGTTAATTAACTATAGATAAATTAAAGGATTCCGATAATCCCGCAAGTAGACTATATAATTGGAATTTAATAAACGAAGCAATGAAAAAAATGGGTATAAGCCTTGATTAAGATGTTAAATCGTTAATTGTAGCAGGAGATACATAAATGTTAGCAGAAGTAATAAAAGATTTATATGATTATGATGATAATTAATTAGAAACTATTTCTATTCCAAACTCAGCAAATTCTATTTAATCGAATCCAAGAAGAAAACAGAATAAAAGAAATAATCTTTATGAAGCTTAAAGAAAAGATTAAATTCTTTCTTAATAATTTAAAAGTATAGTTATATTTTTAATATAAAATATTATTTATTTACCAATAATTATAGTCGAAGATAATTAAAAGACAGTAGATTTAAACAATTTAGATGTAAATAAAAAATTAGATGAAACTTCTTGCCTTTTAGAATTTTTTTTAATTGCTATTTCAAAATTTTTTATGTTATAACCAAAATAAGTATATAAATAAATAATATTATATGAATATATTTATATAAAATATAATTATTAATATAATATAAATATAAATATATATATATATATATATATATATATATATATAAATTTTATAAATATATATATATACATATACATTTTTATTTATTAAGTCAGCTTCATTATTAGCTAATGGAAATAAATATTTTGCACATGTAATAATAAAAGGTTTAAAAGGTGATTTTAATCCTGTTGAAGATTTTTTTTAAGAAATATACGCTAATATATCACGTCTTATGATTTTTATAGAAATTGAAGAAGGAAATATTCCTATACTTTTAAATACATTAAAACCAGGATTTTTATCAAAAAATGAAGAAGTAGTTATGTGGACTTGCCGCATATTAAGTAAAATAGCATTTGATTTGACAAATCTTGAACTTTTAGCACCCGCATATAGTTGGTTTTGTTAATAAATGGGAGGATTATATTCTTGTGTAATGTGTTTATAAAGACATAATAATGTTTAAGACAATTTAGTTTCGTTTATTTTGTAAATCTCAAGATTTAATTTGTTGGAAGTTTTGACAGTTTAATTAAGAAAAATAATAGAAAATAATAGAGAATATATAAATTTTATAAATTAACTTTTCAGCTCTTTATGTTATTCAAAATCTTGTAAAGAAGAAGTTTTTTTTTATAAATTTGATATATATATATATATATATATATATATATATATATATATATATATATATATATATTAATATTTTATAATTATAGCTTATTAGATTTGAGATTATTTAATTTTGGACTGATTTATGTTTTAATATAAGTGAAAACGATCCTTTAAATATTAAAATTTAAGATAGAGAATGCTCATTATAGTTACTTGTTAATATTTGGAAACAATTTCCTTTATATATATAAGAAGGAGAATATCTTTAAGAAAAAATACTTGAATTATTAAAAAAAGGAACAAGGGATAAAAACCAAAATTTCTAAATGGGATGTTTAAATAAACTTTTTGATATCTTAGATTTTTTGGCTTCAGATAGAAATCCTTTAGCTAGTTTAATTTATAAAAAATTAACATTTTCTTTAGTAGAAAATCATATGGATATAACTTTAAGAGATTATATGCTTTAAAATTTTACTTTAACATTTTAAAAATTTTAAACTATCCCAACAGAAATATTATTAGAACCTTTAATAAAATAAATATAAGTGATAATATAAACTAATATAATATATAAAAAAAAAATATAAATAAATAAATAAATATATATATATTTTTATATATTTATACATTTATAATTAGATTAGTGATAATAAAAGCTACTTTTTTAATATTTGTGATGTCGAATTTTTTTAAATAAGTAGTTAACATTCTAAGCTTTCTTTGCAAATGGGAATTTAATTAATTGATTTATTATTGAAAGTATATTTTAATAATTTAATTTTTGCTTAAAGTGTGTTTAATTCTATCGAAAATATAATACAAAGATTCATTAAAGAAAATTCTTTTTAAGAATATTTAATAAAATTAATTGTTTTAAGTCTTTCTTAACTTTTGAATAGTTGTAAAGGCAAAAAAAATATTGTCAAATTTTAAAAAGATTAAAAAAATATATTTGATGCCATTGATGAATAAAACTCAGTATAAATTATTAATGCTCAAAAAAGAGGACTTATTATTTAATTATTTAAGGTTATAATTTAATAAAAATAATTTAGTTTAAATTCTTAAATAAAACCTTTAATTGTTAAACTTTTTATAGATTTAAAAAATATAAAAATTGAATATAAAGGTAAATATATATTATATTTAATATATATATTTACATATATTTGATATTTTTTTTATAATAAATTAAAGGTCTTTTAATTCTTTTAAATTTATTAGATAGTCCTGAATCTATTATGCGTGAAATCGATTTTTAAAATTAATTAGATAATAAAGAAAATGTAGAAAAGGGAAATTTTTAAAGGAATTATAAAGATAAAAATTAATAAGAAATTGCTTTTTATGATAATGATATTACAAATAAAATTTATGAAAATAATAATAATTAACAAAACTAATTTTAAGAAGATATTATAAATGATGATTATATATCAAAAAATGGTATAATTATTATATAAATTTATATGTTTTATTTGCTTATTTTGAATAGATTAAAAAAGCTATTAAATTAATAAAAATGATAATTTAAATTCTAAGGCTATTATGTAGATTGAATTAATAAAATAATAAAGAGAAATCTAATTATTGAAAAAAAAACAAGAAGAAGAATTAAAAAATAGAAAAAAAATTTTTAATAAAAGGCTGCTTAGAAGGAAATAACAAAAAGAAATTTTTAATTAGGAATATATAGTAAATTAACAGATGAAGAAAATGGAATTTTCGAAGAAAACACATTACCTGTATAATCAAAAATAGATTAAATATAATTAATTAATTTCGAAGAAGAAGAAAATAGAGATAAGGAAGGCTTAGGAATTTAATTAAAAAAATACTACAAAGCTTTTAAATTTTTATTTAAAAAATATGCGAATTAAACTAATTAATTTAAAAAGTAAATTTTTAAATAATAAATATAAATAATTATATATATAATAATTTAATTTTATACAGTGGAGAATTTTTTGGATAATTAAAATAAAAATTTAACTTAATATCATATTCCGATATATGTAAACTTTGTAAAGAAAATGATTTATATAAATTTGTAAATAAAGATGAACTTAGTTAATTATTAAGGCTATTAAATTATTAATTAAAAGAAATAGTAATATATATATATATATATATATATATATATATATATATATATATATATATATATATATATATTTATTATAGATATTTATTTTATTTTCTATATTAGAGTGATTTAAGCCCTTTATCTTTTGATGATTTTATTAAATATATAATTTAATTGATTTATCTAATCTTTAGTAGAGCTCCATATGATTTAAGAGGGGATAATATATGTTTGTTTTTTACTGAATTTTTTTAAATAATTAGTTTAGCGACTTAAAAAAGAGGAGAAAATAACGAATTATTTGAATATATTGATAAAGGTAATAAATAAGAAGATATTAATTATTTCAATTAAATTTTGTAATAAAATCCAAATTTTTAGTTACCTAATGATTAATACATAAAAGTTTAAGAAAAACAATTTTAATAGTTCTATTGTATGAATAATAAAAAATAAATGTGTATTCCTATATCTTATTTGATTTCTTATGAAATTTTAAATTAAATTTTAAATGAAAATTTCTAGTAATAAAATTATATTTATATATTATATATTTTGTTATTTTTTTATTTTGTTAAGAATTAATATTTTAGAGCCTTTACATCTTTTATAAAATATTTCAAAAGTTAAATTAAATCTTGTTTAATAATAAAAAAATCTAGATAAAAAAGTTTAAAATATTGTATAAAAAATAAATTCTAATAATATAATATAATAGCCTTAAATTTAATAAAAAAACTAAAAATTTTGTATAAAAATAATAAATATATATATATGCAAAAAATAAAAAAATATAGATAACGATATAAATGAAAATAAATAAGAATTTGTTGTTTCTAGACCTAATTTAAATTTGACAGCTTAAAATAGAAACAGAAGTCCATCAAGAAAAGCAAATAAAGTCATATAATAAAAAATGGAATAAAAAACAATTGAAGAAAAGCGTGTTTAATCATAAGAATTAAAGATTAAATAAAGATAATAAGAATTGAAAGAATAATTAGAAAAAATAAAGGAACAAAAAAAAGAATAAGAATAAAAAGCAAAGGAAGAACAAAAAATGTAATAATAGGAATAAGAAGATTAAGAGAAAAGAAGGAAAGAAAAAATAAAAAAGGAATAAGAATAAAGAAAATAAAAAATAAAAGAATATTAACAAAAATAAGAAGAAGAAAATAAACAAAAATTATAATAAGATTAATAAATAAAAAAAGAATAAGAAGCATAAAAGAAAAAAGAATAGGAAGATTTCTTAAAAAATAAAAGGAAAAATTAGAAAAAGAATTCCAAGAAAAATTATAAAACAAAGTAAAAGTCTAAGAATTCTAAGAATAAGAAAAAAAATAAGAAAAATAAAAAGAATAAATAAGAAAATAAAAAGTAATTTTAATTAAATATAAATACATATATATTTATAAATTTATATATCGGCTTATATTATAATAATAAAGATATCAGAATTCATAGATAAAGAAAAAGAAAAAAGAGAAATAGAAAAATAAAATAAATAAAAATTTTTAGATTATGAAAAAAATTCTGAACTTATATAAGATTTATTTAATAAAAAAGAAAAAATAATGAAGGCTTTATTTAATCATTTTAAAGAATATAATGATTTCAAAATCGATAGAATTGATAAAAATGTGCTTCATTTTAAAGGATATATTTAACTTTGTACCTAATTTTAAATTAATCCTAATGTTTTGTCTACAGAGGATGTTTAATATATATTCAAGATTTTTACAAAAGATTAAAATATTAATGATAATTGTTTAACTATGAAAGATTTCTAAAATATTATTCTAAGAATAAGTATTTCAGGAAGAAAATATTTTAACTCAATTTGTTGTAGCTTAAGTGAAAATCATAAAAAAATTGATATTATTTAATATCTTAATGATTAGAAAAAAAATGAGGAAAATAGATAAAATGGTAATTAAATTGATGATACAGAAGAAACATATATTTTAAATGCTTTGTAAGGTTTTTTTAAATTTTTAGATTTACCAAATGAATAAATTGAATTAAGAGCTAAATTATAAGCAATGAAAATTGAATCTTAAAAAATTAATAAAAATAATGGTATATTTTATTAGTATATTAATAATTTTTTTATATATTTTTTTATTATTTTTGAATTTATTTTTATGCTTTTGTTTTCTAGTTTTTATTAATTTTTTAATTTTTAGATGAAGAAATAAATAAATAAAAAAGAGTAAGAGATTAAAGTTAAAATTAAAGCGATATAAATAAAAACAATTAAAATAGAAGTGCTTCTTAAAATGGAAGGAATATTAATAATAAAAATTAATAAAAAAAATAAAACCAAAGTAAATATAAATATATATAATATATTATTTATTATTTTTATTAGATAATACTAAAAACAATAGCAACCAAAAATAAAATTAAAAATAAGAAATAAGTATTTAATGAATTATATAGTTAATTAATAGATTCTATTAATAATTAATAAAAATATATATATATAATAATATATATATAATGTTTTGTTTTTATTTAAAAATAGAATCATTATATTTATAAAAATACTATCATATATATAATTAAAAAAATTAATATATATATTCATATTTAATAATTAAAAATTAAAATAAAACATTTTTTTAATATTTTTTATATTAAATAAAATAAAAATCACCTTTAAAAATAAACATTGATTTTAAAATTTTTTTATACTTTGTTTTTATTGTAATCATTTAAATATCTAGTATTTTATTCCTCACTCATTTTTTATTTTTAATTAACCTTTTAATTCTTATTAGTACTTATATCTTCAAGTTTAACAATGATATTATTGATTTATTCAGATAAAGTATTATTTCCATTTTTTAAGTTAGTTTGGTCTTCAGATTATGTATTTTTCCTTTATTAATTTTAATATTAATGTTTTTAATAAAAAGCATTTGAATTTCTCATAAAATTTTCAAAGAATTATTCACTATGTTTTGATTTTAAAATATTTAATTTACTTATGATATTTTAATTATTTTCAATAATTTAATTTTTATCTTCTTTTTTAAGATTTTATTCAGTATTATATTTTTTAGGTTTTATTATTTTTGGGATTAAACTTTCTTGTGTTAAATCGATTATTTGAGAAAACTTTATTGAAGGAAATTCAGTTATTATGCTTTTGGAGAGTTTTTCGTTTATACTTTAATTTTTAAAAAATGTATTATTCATATTTTGAAGACCCTTTTTTTAAATAAATGAGTTCAAATTTGAGTCTTTATTCATTTAATTAATATAATTATGCTGTTATTTTGTTAGAAAAGATCTGCTTTTGACAATATTTTCAGTAGTATCGATTTTATTTTATTCTTTTTCAAGTATTCCAATGCGAGCACAAGAAATTATTTGTCCTTATTAGTCAAGGCATTTTTACATTTGTTAATTTTTGAAATTTAATTTAGTAAATAAATAGTTTCTGACATTTTAAATTTTCAAAAAAAATAGATTTACAGCAGTTTTTGTAAAAGAAATTAATTCACCTTTTTAACTATCGGATTAAATAGAAAATGTTCGATTTCTTTTTAACAATATGTCTTCTTCACCAAAAACATCATTTTTTCCATATTAGATGATTTTTATGTTTTTTGCTTTTGAAAAATTAGATAGTTTTATTTTTGTTGTTCCGTTTTTGTCTATTAAAGCATTAAATTATTTATCATTATATTTTCTAAATTAAAGATCTTTATAATATTTAAATGCCTTTTATTTAAGTATTTATTAAAAAATAAATAATTTATAGAAAAATATAAATTATATAAAATAAAAGTAAAATAAATATTATAAATTATATATATATATATATATATATATATATATATAAATATTATAATATATAATATTTTTTTTATGTATATTGTATATTAATTTTTTTTTTCATATTTATTTATACTGTAAATGTTCCTTATTTAATTAAATATATTAAATAGCTTTAATCTCCTTCTAGAAACACTAATTATTTATTGAAAAAAATTTCATAAGAGGCTAATAAATAAATGAGGTTTAATTACTTTTTATTTAAATTCCAGAAAATAGGTAACTATTAGAAATAATTAATTTACATTTCTATTTATACACTAAGTAATTATCCAATTTATTTGAAATCTTTTTTTTTTAAAACTGCCAACTAACATCCCATATAATCATTCGAAACTACATAAGAGACTAAACTTTTATCATCTTATAATAAACTTATGCTATTTAAAGTCTCGCCTTTTACTAATTTTTTTACACTATATAAATTATTCTCGTCATTATTTAGACACATAAAAGTGTCTACAGAACCATTTAAAATTACATAAAAATTATTTGCCTATTAATCTTTATTTATATATATTTTAAATAAAAAAATTTATTTAAATTAGACCTAAATGCTGTATCGTTTAATTTGGCTAAAAAGATTAAAATGTGGCATTGTATAGAAATTTGGTGTACTCTTGCTTGTCTTCGTTTTAGAGATATATGAAAAAAGGATTGTCTTGTAATAATTGGTTAAGTTAATGTATCTGTTCGGGTAATTTATCTTATTTGTCTAAGTTAAATAAATACTTCAGTTGCTTATTATTTATATATAAAAATTATTTTTAATATTAATTTTATATTAACTTCAAGATACTCAATATTTTCCATTTTATAATATTTTTTGTTTTTTTATTTTGTATTTTATATATTTTTTTTATTTAAAATAAAAATTATTTATAAAATTTATAGTAAATATTTTTATTATATAAATTAAATTTAAACAGTATGTTTGTTTTATTGTTTTTTTGTTTTTTTTGTTATAATAATAATTTTTTCTAATAATTATAAATGTTAAATATTTTAATAACAATCTGTTTTTTTTTTATTATATTTATATTAAATATTTTAATTAAAGTAATTGTTTTTTTCAATTTTAATTAAAAGTAATAGTTTTTAAAATTTTAAAACAAATTTTATTTTAGTTTATTTAAAAAATATATAAATTTATTGAATTTTTTTTTTTAATAATTAATAATATATTAAGTTTATTTTATATTAAAAAAATTATTTATGATATCGAATATGCATTTTTATTTTCATTTATTTATAGAAAATTTTAAATAAATTTAATTAAGAAAATAATTATTTGAATTTTATCATTAAAACTAAAATAAACATATATAAAATATATAA